TTAAAAAAAAAAAAAAAAAAAAAAAAAAAATCCCACACAAAATTTTTCCTCCGCGATTGCCCTCCATCTTACCTTTCCCACCTACCGCCCGCGCCCACCTACCGCCCGCGCCCACCTAGCGCACGCGCCCACTTAGCGCCCGTGTTTCTCGAATGCCGCGGCGAGCCTTCCGCGAAAAACTTTCACTACCTCATACATAGCCGTCCGCAAACTGAAAAAAAATGAAAAATTCGCTTGAAAAAAATATCATAAAAAAAAAAGAACCCAAATCCCAAAAATCCCAAAAATCCCACACAAAATTTTTCCTCCGCCCTCGCCCTTTATCTTATACCTTCCCCACCTACCGCCCGCGCCCACTTAGCGCCCGCGCTCACTTAGCGCCCGCGCCCACCTGCCGCCCGCGCCCACCAACCGCCAGCGCCCACTTAGCGCCCTTGTATCGCGAATGCTGCGGCAAGCCTTCCCCGAAAAACCTTTCACTACCTCATCATACTTAGCCTTCCGCAAACTGAAAAAAATGAAAAATTCGCAANTCTTACCTTCCCCACCTAGCACCCGCGCCCACTTAATGCCCTTGTATCGCGAATGCCGCGGCAAGCCTTCCCCGAAAACCTTTCACTACCTCATACTTAGCCCTCTGCAAACTGAAAAAAATGTAAAATTCGCTTAAAAAAAAATATCTTAGAAAAAGAAAAAAAAAAAAAATCCCACACAAAATTTTTCCTCCGCCCTCGCCCTTAATCTTAGTTTACGCGGTGGGATCTGATCCCACCCCGTAATTATCGGTCCGACAATTTTTCGGGGTCGGCACTTTGGAAATCCCTTCTACAAGACTGTATCGTGATACTATAAAATCCCCCGGAAGATGTTCCCACGTCCATCCGCGGAGCGGGGACTGCCGCGTAGACTTCTCTGTTTCCTTCTTTTTTTTTTTTTTTTTTTTTTTTTTTTTTTTTTTTTTTTTTTTTTTNTTTTTTTTTTTTTTTTTTTTTTTTTTTTTTTTTAAGATATTTTTTTTTAACCGAATTTTTCATTTTTTTTCAGTTTGCGGAGGGCTAAGTTTGAGGTGAGTTCGCCCCTAAGGGCAAATTTGAAAAATGGCTTAAGCTCCGTTACCGAGGAGGGATACCTGTCTACGCGTATACGCGGTGGGATCCGATCCCACCCCGTAATTATCGGTCGGACAATTTTTCGAGGTCGGCACTTTGGAAATCCCTTCTACAATACTCTATCGTGATAATATAAAATCCCCCGGAAGATGTTCCCACGTCCATCCGAGGAGCGGGGTCTGCCGCGTAGACTTCTTTGTTTACTTTTTTTTTTATTATTTTTTTTTTTTTAAGATATTTTTTTTTAAGCGAATTTTTCTTTTTTTTTCAGTTTGCGGAGGGCTAAGTTTGAGGTAAGTTCGCCCCTGGGGGCATATTTTAAAAATGGCTTAAGCTCCGAAACCGAGGAGGGATACCTGTCGACGCGTATACGCGGTGGGATCCGATCCCACCCCGTAATTATCGGTCGGACGATTTTTCGGGGTCGGCATTTTGAGAATGCCTTCTACAAGACTCTACCGTGATAATATAAAATCCCCCGGGAGATGTTCCCACGTTCATCCGCGGAGCGGGGTCTGCCGCGTAGACTTCTCTGTTTACTTCTTTTTTTTTTTTTTAAGATATTTTTTTTTAAAGCGAATTTTTCATTTTTTTTCAGTTTGCGGAGGGCTAAGTTTGAGGTAGGTTCGCCCCTAGGGGCAAATTTTTAATGGCTTAAGCTCCGTTCCCAAGGAGGGATACCTGTCTACGCGTATACGCGGGGGGACCGATCCCACCCCGTAATTATCGGTCGGACAATTTTTCGAGGTCGGCACTTTGGAAATCCATTCTACAATACTCTATCGTGATAATATAAAATCCCCCGGAAGATGTTCCCACGTCCATCCGAGGAGCGGGGTCTGCCGCGTAGACTTCTCTGTTTACTTTTTTT